AAAAAAAAAAAAAAATTGGAAACATACCCACATGCAAACAGCTGGAAGAGCTAAAATCAGAAACCACTAACCACCACGGGAGCGAAGTGCACGAAACGGTTTAGTTCGGTTTATTTCGAGACGCTTCATTTAATAGCCCCTTGGTATATTGCGTATTTGCTGCCCAGCTCCTGCTCCGGGTGGGCTGCGAGCGTCGTCGTGCTGTGAACGGGCAGTGGCATTTGTCAGAGATGTGACTCACATGACTAGAGCGTTAATTTTTATTTTTAAATCGCGTGTATCTGGGAAACCCAGTCTGCATCCGCACCGAATGATACCAAGCCCGATATGAAACGCTTTTGAAATTAAGTAGTAGCATATATATATTTGTGTATGTGTATATATATGTATATAATGCCATAGTTAATAGTTCAGTTGGATGAGCCATTTAATTGGATTTTTTTTTCTCTTAAAATTTACCTTTCAATGTTGAAAGATTAAAATAAAAATGAACTTTGTTATACTAGAATAGAAGATAGCTGTAAAAAGACTGGGTGAGACAAGCTGGATTATGTCCTTAAAAAATCACCACTTGGAACCGGTTTGGTTATTTCAGGTTTGTCACTTTTCTGCTTAAGAGACACCAAGAGGATGAGGGATGATTGAGCTTTTTACAGAGTAGGGGGGAATGTAACATTGGCCCACTGAGGAGGACGTGATAAATGTTTTGCTGATGACTGTGCTAGTGATACAGCAGCCTCTCCCCACCCACGGGCGCCTTAGCACCACTCTACCAAGGGAGTGATTTTCCCCTAGGTAATTAAAGATCTGTTTTAGATAGGGATATGAATAGGAACATTTCATTATCATATTAACCAATTACAGAATCTGCTGATTAAAATCAACATTTAGATCAAATGTTGAAAGTGAAGTTTTGTTCTTTCAGTGGATACGGTGTTTTGCTCAAGACTTCGTATTTAAGTTTCCAGTGACCTATAAATGAGAAAAGGCCCTGAAATAGCCAAGGAGTATGTTTTATATTAGCTATTTTAACAATATCTATCCAAACAAAACAGAACTTTGCAATATTATTTTTAAGGTTGGTTTGCTTAGGTTTTGTTTAAACATACCTATATTAATATAAATATGGCATGAACAGAGTTGAGGTGGTTTGGCAATATTACAATACTGTACTTAAGTTGCAAACTCAATTGTAATGGGGCAGGGAACCCTGCTCGTATGTGAGTTATAAAAAAGTACACTTTATAATTCATTAGAAAGGAACATGTTTTCTGTTTGCCTTTTTTTTTTCCTTGATTTGCCTCTTTCACTTATTGTCCGGGGCTGATTGTGGGAGCGATTTTACCAAATACATGTTGTAGAGAATTTCATGAGGCTTTCCGTAAGCCAGTTCTTACACAACTGACAAACCTGATGTGTTTGTAAGCAACACCAAGGGGTGTGCCCTAGTACTTCTCACAGGTATTGTTGGGATTTTTGGTTAAGTTTGTCCTTACTCGGATGATGAATTAGGTGGATTATGCATGTTTGTATCTCTTCTTTTCTAGACACGATGTGAGATGGAGAAGTATCTGACACCTCAGCTTCCTCCAGTTTCTATAATTCCAGAGCATAAAAAGTATAGACGAGACAGTGCCTCAGTCGTAGACCAGTTCTTCACTGACAGTGAAGGGTTACCTTACAGTATCAACATGAACGTCTTCCTCCCTGACATCACTCACCTGAGAACTGGCCTCTACAAATCCCAGAGACCGTGCGTAACACACATCAAGACAGAACCTGTTACCATTTTCAGCCACCAGAGTGAAACGACCGCCCCTCCTCCGGCCCCGACCCAGGCCCTCCCTGAGTTCACCAGTATATTCAGCTCCCACCAGACCGCAGCTCCAGAGGTGAACAATATTTTCATCAAACAAGAACTTCCTACACCAGATCTTCATCTTTCTGTCCCTCCCCAGCAGGGCCACTTGTACCAGCTACTGAACACCCCGGATCTAGATATGCCCAGTTCTACAAACCAGACAGCAGTAATGGACACTCTTAATGTTTCTATGTCAGCCGCCATGGCAGGCCTTAACACACACACCTCTGCTGTTCCGCAGACTGCGATGAAACAATTCCAGGGCATGCCCCCTTGCACATACACAATGCCAAGTCAGTTTCTTCCACAGCAGGCCACTTACTTTCCCCCATCACCACCAAGCTCAGAACCTGGAAGTCCAGATAGACAAGCAGAGATGCTCCAGAATTTGACCCCACCTCCATCCTATGCTGCTACAATTGCTTCTAAACTGGCAATTCACAATCCAAATTTACCGGCCACCCTGCCAGTTAACTCGCAAAGCATCCAGCCTGTCAGATACAATAGAAGGAGTAACCCTGATTTGGAGAAACGACGCATCCACTACTGCGATTACCCTGGTATGTGACTTTTTTACCTGGTTGAAGCATCAATACGTATGCCTTGTGTGCACCTGTAACCTCAGGTTTTAAATTTACATAAAGTAGTGGTTGACACTGAAAAAATCACCTACTTTGTCCTTTTCCTATCTCAGTCTCTGTACTGTACCCTAGGATGTAACTGTTTGTTGCTTATTTTTACGTATTAAGAAGTGGCTAGGATATTCTGGAAAAAAGTTACTTTGGACTTCTTTATTTTTAATATTAAACAAAATTTTGCATTTTGAGTTAGGCCAGAGTTCCTTTGTTTAAACACCTGAATTGGAATTTCAATTCTAAATTAAGTTCCCTGAAAAGAGATTAAGTTGAGAAAATAAAGCATGGTAATGAAGTGGGGAATGAATAGGCTGCTCTCATGATGGCAGTTTACAGGACTCTACAGAACTGATTTAAGGATGGTTCTGTTAGCATATGAGCGTACGCTTGTTCTTGAATGAGATGTGGCCCAAAACATAAATTGATGATGGTAATGACTTTATCTACACGTTGCTGGCATAAGCTAGTTTATGGTTAATACAGGGTATAATTTATTGACCATGGTACACAATACAGCATGATATACTAAATGAAAAAACAAGAAATGTAGTAGTACAGAAAATTGCAGTCATCTTGGATAATGGTTTAACATTGTCTGCTCTAGAGCCATTAAAAGTTTTTAAATCGCTGAAGTATATGTTACTAGTATAAAGCACCTACTGTAATATAAACAAAAATTTCCCATGTGTAGCTCACTTGATTATCTGCTCTTCCTGTTAAAGTGGTACATAAAGTAAATCACTTTATACCTTTAATAAGGTAACAGGGGAGCACTCTTGAAAACTTCTTTTAAAACTGACGCTTCAAATATCTTCTAGCATGAGAGATTTCTTCTTTAAAGCCAGATTTTAAACACTGAATCATCAAATGTAAAGATTTCAAAAGGATCTCCGAAATGACAAGCTGTTCTTTCTCTCCTTTATTTCAGGCTGCACAAAAGTTTATACAAAGTCTTCTCATTTAAAAGCTCACCTGAGGACTCATACTGGTATGTAATTTTCTTGTTAATTCTGTGAGTTGTGTAAATAGTGTAAGTGGTATTCATCCTTTTAAAAGCCAAC